AAAAAAAATTTAATACTAATATAAAATAGTCATAAATAACTTATAAAATTGTTTTTTGCCTTTAATTTCTTCCACCTTCAAGAAAACCAAACTAACCATATATTTTCTGAGAGTTCTCAATTTACTCTATCTTATGATGCTAAAATGATCTTAATAGAATTGTTTTTCATAAATAATTAGGCCTTTAAAGTCAAAAAGTATGGGTCTCTTTGGGAAGCTATTGTGCTATAACAAACAAGCTATTGACAAGTAAAAAATTGAATTTAAACGAACAAAAGCACAAGATTCTATTTATTTAGAAGCATAAAAATTGTTTATTAATAATCTTGTATTCAATCCTTCCTTCAAAGTCTGTTGTACAGAAAACGTGCTATGTCGATCATATTAATATTAATATATATAGTAAAATCAGTAAATGTGAAATCTTGTCTGAATTGTTTTTATCAATTGCGTCAAAATCTTTGTGCAACACCAAGTACCAATAATAATAATAACAAATAATTGATTGATCAAAATAAAAAATATTCTTTTTTTTTTTTAAAAAAAAAACAATGTCTAATAGAGCAGATATAAAAAGAAAAAAGAATTCAAAGACTTGGGCAAGTGTCTATCAGAAGAATGGTGGTTCTTGCCACTCATCATCACTCTAGTTCTTTTTTCTGAAAAGATAAAATAATGAAACACAAGACACATATGGTGGTAAGTGTTTATTATAAGAATGGGGTTGTTGCCCCTCGTCATCACTTTAGTCGTAATAATAATAATAATAATAATAATAATAATAATAATAATAATAATAATATTTTCCAATAAAAGAAAAATTCATGAAGTTAATAGATCTATTCACATGACTTGTTGTTGTCAAGTTATATCGAGTTTCTTGTGCCTGATTTATTTATTTGGCAGGAGTTTGGATAAAGCATGGCTTCTATCCAGATATAATTGGTACATATATGGTCTATGAAATTTTTTATGGTGAAGTTTCATATGGCCATTTCATCCTGATCCTGACAACTGTATTGGTGAAGATCAGAATTGGCAAATGCGCGGTCCATTTGATGGTCTATTGGTCCATCAGTTCTCAATGGACCAGTTAATTTGCCAACCCTGGTGAAGACGATTTAAGATTGGAAAATTTGGTAATAAATTAGATGATCATATATTTTGAATTTTAAATAAAAAACAATACTTATTTCAAGGTGAAAAACTAGGTAAAGACAGAATAGATCTAATGCATATATCTGATATGCAAATATCCATTGGCTTATCGCAGAGCCCTCCTTGGATCTTTAAATATGAACATACAACAAGAAATTTCAGGAATCTACAATTTTTCCAACTTTCATGGAATATACCAGGGTTGGCAAACTGACTGGTCCATTGCCATTAATATAATACTAAATATGGTTATAGGGTTACACTAATGGACACAATGGACTATCAATGGACTACACATTTGCCAACCCTGGAATATACACAAATTAATCCAAAGAAATTTAGATTTGTTAAAGAATTGGGAGAAATTACAAAATTCAACATGGAGAATGATAACCCTAAAAGAAAAAGATTTTGGAGAAGATGGTGATAATCATTGCGAAACATTTTCTCCTAAACGATTGGGTAAAAGAAAATGATGATTATCAATTAATACACCGTTTTTCATTTATTTTATTTAATTTATAATGTTTAGACAAATAGTTATTGAGAATCAATGAATTGAATCATTAATTAAAACAATACCCTACAAAAAATTTAGATACTTACACTACCTGGAAGAAAGTATCTGGACGCACCTTTTTGATAATTTCGCAAAATTTTGCATAGCATAAAAAAATTTTTTTACATCAATTTGTAGCCTAGGTTCTTACGATCATGTGTATAAATTTTAATGTTTCTAGCATCTACATAAAATTTTTAATTAAAAAAAACCAAAATGTAATTAAAATCACGATTTTCCTCTCAATTTTTTTACAATTATTAGAATTTTTTCAAAATATTGTGTACTAAAAATACATAAATTTTATATAAACTTGAAGCTTAGGTTCTTGAGAATATTCTTGTAATTTTTTACCATGTGTAAATAATTATTTAATAAAATATAATAAATTTGAAAAAATTAAAAAAAAATTTTTTCAAAGATCTAGATTGATAAAAAATTTTAAAATGCCAAAAAATGAAAAGCTGACCAATTTACAACAAGCCAACATTTTGGGCCTCCATATGAGTAATAATAACCTTACTAAAATATCAAAGTTACTTAAAATTCCAAGAAGTACAGTACATGATACCATTACCCGTTACAGAAATGCTGAAAGTTTGAAAAGTGCACCAAGAAGTGGTTGGCCCAAAGCAATAAATGAAGATGACCAAAAATTTTTAAAAGAACTTGTACAAACATATAATCATAGAAGTGCAAATGAAATTAAAAACAAATTTGCTGAGACCACTGGTATTGAAGTTTCAACAAAAACGATTCGCAAAAACTTTCATGAACTTGGAATTTTCTCTTGTATCACAGCTGTACAACCATTATTAACAGAGAAACAAAGGAAAAATCGACTGAAATGGTGTTTAGAAAGAAGAGCTTGGAAAGTTACAAAGTGGAAGACAGTAATATGGAGTGATGAATCAAGACTCAAGATTTTTAGGAATGATGAACCAAACTGTGTCTGGTGTACAGATGGTGCACGTTATAACGTTGAAATATGGTTCCTTCTGTTAAGCATGGTGGTGGCGGAATAATGGTATGGGAATGTTTTTCTGGAAAGGGATTGGGACCATTGGTTAAAGTTGAAGCTAAAATGAATTGCCTTGACTATATAAAAATTTTAGAAAATGATTTACTACCAACAATTGGAAAACAATTTAATGGCAGGTGTTATTTATTTCAAGATGACAATGCACCTGTCCATACTGCCAAAGATGTAAAAAATTGGATTATGCAAAAAAAAATTAAAGTACTACCAGATTGGCCTTCTCAATCACCAGACCTTAACCCAATTGAACATCTTTGGGCTGAACTTGAAAGGCAATTGAAAAAAAGAAATAGCCATCCTAAAAATCCAACAGAATTAGAGATTGCTTTGAAAGAGGAGTGGTCAAATCATGTGTATAAATTTTAATGTTTCTAGCATCTACATAAAATTTTTAATTAAAAAAAACCAAAATGTAATTAAAATCACGATTTTCCTCTCAATTTTTTTACAATTATTAGAATTTTTTCAAAATATTGTGTACTAAAAATACATAAATTTTATATAAACTTGAAGCTTAGGTTCTTGAGAATATTCTTGTAATTTTTTACCATGTGTAAATAATTATTTAATAAAATATAATAAATTTGAAAAAATTAAAAAAAAATTTTTTCAAAGATCTAGATTGATAAAAAATTTTAAAATGCCAAAAAATGAAAAGCTAACCAAATATACCTATCTAAATAATTTTCTTTTTTTTTTTGGTAAAGCTATTCAAAGTATTAAATTTAATTGTATAATAATGTATTTAATGATGTGAATAATATTAAACGTTTATATATATATGTGTTAATGTCAACAAATCATTTTATTGCAACTTAACAATTGAATTGCTTTCCTCTAAAATAAAATATACATTGTGTTTCATTGCAATGGTCAAGGTATTTTTTAAAAAATATGAGCAATGTGAATACAAATGGTAAAGATGAAGTTCCTTATCGCCCAGTTGACAGTAATAAGCCTTTTGTTCTATTATATCTACTACCCCCTCTAATTCGGTTCTGTCTGATTAATTTTTATCAATTATTTGAAAAACTTCCAATTCATTAAATCTACAACCATTTACTATATTGATGTTATCATAAGCATGTGAAACATTATAAATACTACTATTTGGATAAAAACGGATATCATAACCACCTCCAAAAGTAGGTAAATAAGAAGAATTACACCAAATTGCATATTCATTATTATTATTAACATAACTAAATTGAGCAGCATTAATGTCATTTCTATTATTTATGTTAAATACAAAACTTTCAGTTGTAGCTTTAAGTCCCCCCCATTCCAATTAAGTGGATTATAACCACCAACTATTTGCTCTGAATTTTGTATTTTGCCAACTACAAAAGTTTTGTTGATGTTGCCACATTTTTTATGAAATATGTCTCCATCTAAACCATCTCTACTACTACGATATAGAAGTTTAAATTCATATTTGACTTCTCTGAATGAAGTGTATGGTGGATTTTTTTTATCAATCCAACTTGCAAAAGGCAATGTTAACATTTGGTTAATTATTACTGATTCAAGTTCTGGAAATATTGCTTTAATCCCTTGGTTTCTTGATGCTAATAAATTCAATGTTTGTCGTTTACCAAAAAGTAGATAATAATTTAATAGAGTTACCCAAAAATCATGGGAAAACAGTTTCTTAAAAGATAAAAATCCTCATTAGAAATATCCTGGAATCGAATTAAAGAAAATAATTCTTTTAAAGTGTTCCTTAAATCAGTAAAATTTTGTTCTGACCATGCTTTAATATAGTTTATATTATTAATTTCTGGATGCTTGGCTAGTCCCCATTTAAGAATACTTTCCCAAATAATTGTTCTATCAACATAAAAATCATCTCTTTCAAATATAGCTAATAAAATTGATTTTTCCAATAATTCAAATTCACTTGACCCAAATAAATTATCACTAGAATCACAAAATTTTTTAAGATAAATATTTTTCAATTCCTTAAATTTTTCTCCATTAGAGTAGATTGATCTTAGAACTTTAATTGTATTTTCTTTAATGTAATTCTCATGATTTTTAATAAAGTACTTTAATGTGTGTTTGTAAAATGGTTCAAGGCCAAACTCATCAGCTGAAATCAATAATTGCAATACATCTGCTCCATTAAACTCATCTAATTCAATTTTACAAGTATATAAAAATCTTTTAAATATAAAATATTAATATTATTAATAATATAATAAACTTACTTAAGTATTGTCTTAAAGGCCAATTCATTAAGATTTGCTTTCTCAATGATAAAATAACCATTTTCTTTTTTTGCATTCATTAATGCATTTTGAAAAAAAGGACAATGTGCAGATATAATTGATGAATGTGCATGAACTTCTTTAATATTTGGTTCTACACCAACATAAATTTTTACATCATAGAAATCTTCTGTATTTAATAATCTTTCATTTTCGTTAAAATAAATTTCAAAGATAGTTGAATCCATTTTTTTTTTTTAAAAAAAAAAATTTGATAATCCCCAAAAATAATAAGTAAACGTAGTTACACAAAACAATTTCAGGGAGTAGTATATATTTGTTATATTATTATTTATAGTTTTTTAACGTATTGACCTTGTGGTTTTTATCTATAATAATATACTATGGAAATTTTGTTTCAAATTTTAATTTTGTGATTTGGTTGGGTAATGATTGATTGGCATCACAAAATGTGACGTGATGACCAAATTAAATAGTTCCGAGTTGCACAATCAATTAAAGTTTATTTTATGAATCTGATGGGATAAAGCACATGATATCGTGTGATTGCATTGCAAAGTTACTATATTTTTTGTAGTTCTGGAAATTGTTCATAGTAGATCTACAAACTTAATAAATTTTAATAATGTATTTAAACATGTTAACATTAATGTCAATTTAACTTAATACCATAACTCAAAAATAAAATGTAGATTATGTTTTGGTTAAGGCATTTTTAAAACATGAACAATGTGAATGCAAGATAAATGAATTAGGTTAACAATCAATTATTCACCAACATGTAGTTATACATACTCATATTTTTTATTTATAAAATTTATTTGAGAGGATTGATAAAAAGGTAAGAAGAGAAAAAGAATTCAATTACAAAAGTTATAAATTAACAACAAGAATTTGGTAAAAATATAAACTTGTTTATAAAGTATTTTTGATTATTTTAATTTTTATCAATTATTTGAAAAACTTCTAATTCATCATATTTGCTACCACTTACTATATTGATGTTATTATAAGTTGTGGGTTTACTATGAATAGTACCACCTGGTTGAAAATAAATATCAGAACCATTACCAAAAGAAGGAAAATAACTATGATAACAGTTAATTGCATATTCATTATCACTATTATTAACATAACTAAATTGAGCTGTATTCATATCATTTCTATTATTTATATTAAATATAAAACCATCAGTTGTATTTTTACTTTCATCCCCATTCCAATTAAGCGGATTATAGCCACCAACTATTTGTTCTGAATTTTGTATTTTTCCAATTACAAGAGTTTTGTTGATATTATCACATTTTTGATGGAATATAGTTACATTTAAATCATCTCTACTGCTACGATATAAAAGTTTGAATTCATATTTGACTTCTCTGAATGAAGTGTATGGTGGAGTTTTTTTATCAATCCAACTTGCAAAAAGCAATGTAAGATTTTGATTGATTGTCAGTGATCCAAGTTCAAGTTTTGAATTTCTATGATTTCTTGATGGTAATAAATTTAAAGTTTGCTGTTTATTAGGAACCAAATAATTATCTAAAAGAGCTTCCCACAAATTATCAGGAAGAAGTTCTTTAAAAGGCACAACTTTATAACGAAAAACCTCACTAGAAATATCCTGGAATCGAATTAAGGGAATTAATTCTTTCAGAGTGTTTCCTAAATCAGTAAAATTTTGCTTTGTCCAGGTTTTAACATAATTAATATTATTAATTTCTGGATGCTTGGCTAGTCCCCATTTAAGAATACTTTCCCAAATTCCTATTTCCTCAATGTTGTGAGATCAAAAATTCCGTCTCACACAAATCTATTGATTTGGTTATAATATTATTTATCCCTTCCTATGGCAGTATCCAGTTGTGTAATTCTTTGATTACTTTCTTTGCTTTATAGCTTTCAAGCTATTTAACTCTCTGCAGGGTAAGTTTTCTTACTTCCCGTCCGGTAACGTTTTCTCAGCAGTTGCTATGTTTTCTGCCTGAGCCGGAACGTGTCAATTATTATCCCTTCTGATAATAATCCCAGTATCTTCCCTGATACTGTTGTGTTATGTTCTGATGGTTCAGTGTTTCTTTACTGACCACACCTAGCTAGGGTTTCCACTTATTTAGGCGTTGGCCTAATCTAAAATAAAAATAAAGAAAATAAAATTAAAAGAGAATTCACACACTATACTTATCAAAGGCGTCCCCCTGGTAAGATAGTAATTAATTAATAATTAGGTCGAGTTAGAGGTTTATATGTTTTTAGGAAGCAGGTGGATAATTCCACTGGCAATAGATTATTTTAATAGATATTTATGTTTGTATTTTATTAATAAGAGATTATTGTTATTACAAGATAGTAGTTAAGAATAAATTAACTGATTAACTTCTAACTGATTATTACATGAAAGAGAAATTTACAACGTATTTATACATGTTAAAGGTTCTATCATCTAGTTATCCGACTTTGTTGAAATCCTAATTTATACTAATTAATATTTTCCTTAATTATTATTTAAACTTTCCATTTAGAATTATTTTCAAGTAATTTCTAGTCATCATGAATCATGTAAAATTCTTTCATTTAAATATTTTTCTGAGAATTTGTGATCTGTTACACTTTAGAATGTTGGAATATTTATATCTCCAATATTTGGGTTATTTTCCGAGAGCTATTTATTTGATTGGTGCGCCTTATTAATTAGTGTAACATTTATTAAATTGTACTGGTTTATTTCTTGTTGAGTTATTCCGTGATAATCGTTTCCACATTTTCACTTCGTGATACATGTAAATCATTTCCGATTTATATGTTCGTTCCCGTGATTTCTAATTTACTATTTTACACTATTCTTTGGGCACTCTGACAAAAATTTAACTTTCACTATTACTACTACTATTATTATCAATGATATTATTACTAATATTTATATCCTAATTGTTTTTATTATCTTCTTCAACTTCATTCTCCATCTCCTTCTTCTTTTCCTTTTCAACCCATTGCTGAATTGCTTCTATTGTTTTCTTTCTGGGATTGGTTTTTCGTTGGTAGAAGTTTTTTATTGTAGAAGCAGCAATTTCCTTTCCCTCTTCAAGTAATTCACGAATTTCAATAGCCATTTCATTAAATGAAAAATTGGGATTTAACCCAGTCTTTTTGTCAAATAATTGTTTGAAAACCTTCCATAGATTTTCGATTTCATGTGAATATTTTTTATCATCAGTAAGTTGGTTTATTTTATTTTTAAAATGGCTTTTTCTTGGTTCTATTTTATTGACTATTTGATCAATTTTTTGATTTATAATAGAGAATTGATTTTGATAAATTTTATAGTGAAATAAGAAACCAAGAAAGAGTCCAGTTAACAACCCACAAAAAAACTCATTATTGAATGTAAGCATTTTTTTAAATGTTATGGATGTAAATATTTATTGATTATTTGATTGTTTTTGAACCAAAAAAAAAAAAGTGTTTAATGATGATTATTAGGAGTTGTTATTGAACAATTTTTAATGAACAAGTAATTTAATTGTTGTAAAATTACAAAGTTAAAGTTGAATTAATTTTATATCTTTAAATATTAATTTACAATTGTTAGGAATATATAAATAAATAAAAGAAAAATGAATGAATCTAATATCTATATTTGTGGGTAAGCTTATAGACTTCCTGGAAAGTACAATCCATAATTGAAAGATAACTTCTTAAATAAATATAAAATAAAATAAACGCAAATTCCCCAAATAATATTATCCATGTTCATCCAGTGGAACGAAAATGAATTTCTCCACATTACAAATATGGTAATAGAATTTAGGGACCAGTCGAATCTCCAAAAAAAAATCTAGGGGTTGACTAGTGATTCTTTTACAACAAGGCGGGATTATTTACCTCATTTGCATAAAAGAGAAAGTTTCTTTCTTGTATATAGTAAAAAAAAAAATTAATTAATATTGTAACAATGAGATTATTTTCCTTCTAAGGGTTTCTGCTTTTTATTAGGTAATAATGCATCATCATAATGTTTTCTTTTTCCAACATTTATTATTTTTCTTTCTTCTTGGTAAATTTCATAAGTAATCCTTTCTTTTCTTAGATAAGATTCAAATGTCTGAGTATCATTTATTTTGAAAATGTAAGGAGCAATTTTTTCACCTTGTTCTTTCTTCAAAATACTTCTAATGGTGCTATAATTCTTGGGTTCCATAGTAGATCTGATGTAAATGAGTTTCATATTAACTATTTTTATATAGAGGTAATTCTATATATCAAGAGGATAACAAATGGAAGATTTTATTAATCACATTACTAAAATTTGACCCCTGAAATCTTTGGTAATACCAATGTTCACTTTGTCTGGTTTTGTTGCAGCATGCCCCATTTTTCCTTTTTAACCCATTTACAAAAAAATTTGTTTTCTAAAATAAACACATTAAATATGGTAATCTTAGAACAATGAATGTTTCACAACATTGTGAATTATCATATGCTTCTAAATTGGGCGCCAATCAAAAACTACGATTTTTCTCTTTTTGAAAAAACCATTCATAAAAAAAATTTTTAAAAAAAAACTAGCAGAATATTTTATTATTTGTAAATAGTAACAATAGTGACATGGAATTATTAAAAATCAAAAAAAGATGTTAAACGTTAAATGGAAAAATTAATCAATCTGCAGTAAAAAGTTTTTGAACGGATTATATTTACATCTATTAACAATTATTGCCTTCGTTATACCAATTTTGTGACGTTTCCTGCCTGAATACACAAACTCTAACGCTAACGCAACTTTTCCCTTCCCTTCCCTTCTCTTCTCTAAAAAAAACTCGTTACTATGCAATAATAATTTGCTGCAATATTTTGACATATACAGGTGAACAATTGAATGAATAAATAAAAAACTTTTTAAGTTGATTTCGTTTGTGATGGTGATGTGATGGTGTATATGTAATCAATTCAATCAATATAATTAATATTTTCCTAAAGGCTTAATCAATATTTAATCAATATTTTCCCAATATAAAAATTTAAAGGTTTAAATTTAATTAATTTGTATTTATATGCATTTTATCAAACAAAACAATACTATCAGTATGTTTGTTTGTTACCCCATTATTAACATTGTTTAAGAAATATGACATGCACATGAAAAAAAAAGCAATGTAACGTACACAATTCTATTTCAAAAAAAAACATGAATTTTTACAAAATTATTATTGTGGAAATGTGGAAGGCGAAGTGATGATGATGAAACAATTAGTAATTTTTTTTTAGATATATAGTATACTAACATGAAACATTTATAAAATTGACCATTTATAGTTAGTTATTCAAGGATTTTCTTGTCTAATTATGGGCGTAAAAATTATTTTTGAAAAATACAAGTTATTAAATACTTAATAAGTTTTTTACAGGGAATATGAATTTACAAACATTAAATTTAGATAATATATCTTTAAAATTCATTTAACAATAATCAAGAATTAGCTCTAGGACGTCCTGTGTCTGATGTATGGAAAGTAAAAGGACATTACTCAGCGTCTTGTAAATATTTCCAAAAACCTGGAGTCGTAGAACACTTTTTAAACTCAAGGCTCGGTGTTGTTATTCTATTTCCCATTTTTACTTGGATGAAATTAATAATAAACAAAACAATGAAATAAACAAAAAACAAAATGTCCAAGCTCTTTTGTCAAACTTTTACAAAAGTACTGTTCTAACTGACCAAAAAAAAAAAAAAAATTCAATTGATTTTGACTTTGACTTTGA